TTTGGCGTTCACTTGTTTCTCGATTTACTTGAGTCTTAATAAGCTTAAACTTGATTGTTTCGTCTCTCACGTTTTCCCTTTCAAGCCCGCGTTGTTCTTCACTTAGACTTCTTCGACGCTCTCTTTCTCTTCTTCTTGTCTTTTTCTTCAGATAAAGATCACTTTCCGTTAGTTACCCGTTGATTTTCCGACATTTGGCGCAGAAGTGAAGTATTTGGAAGGACAAAAATGAAGTCGTTGTGGTGAAAAAGTTGTTTCAACAATTGACGCGAGCGCGCTTCCTTTTCCCGCCTTCTCAAAAGTAGCCAATCACAATCGCGATGTACACGGACGGACGTACGGACGGACGTACGGAAGGACAACTGGGCTTCCTGTGTCGGTTGATCAAAACTCAACTCCATGGATTTACCATTTTTCCTTAGTTATGGTGCTCCGCTCGCGCGGGCCTTCGGCCCGCGCGGGAGCTCCGCTATAAAATTGTTTAACTTACAGTTAATTGCTACAGTCAATTCTGGGCTCACAGACACCACGAGAGGTGACTATATTGAGTGAAAATACGTGCTAAAAGAAAGAAACTAGATAGATAGTAATAAAAATTTTGATGATTCCTTTGATTTCCATTTTCTCCTTTTAACCCTTTTCAGCTGACTATTTTGCAACTTTTAGTGTTTGCGCTCTTCTCTCGATTTTCATTGTTTAACAATCGAATCATATTAATGCAAAGAAAAAAATCTACATTCTAGTGAGTCACAGTAAATATTTTTGGAGGAAATCAGAAATTAGCTTTTTCATTCAAATTGGCGTCGACGGTTYTCGGTTTTTCGGATTGATGCGAATAAATGTTGGGGATGAATAAAGGGATTTTTCTCTTTACGTTTGTATTATGGGACGAATCACAATATAAGAAAAGATAGGGCGGTAAAGTAATACGACTACAACATTGTAGTCTGCGGTCATTGGCGACCGTTGTTATCAAATGGCATCTGTTTTATTTGTCAATTCTTATTATAATGTTTCATTCAACGAATAATTCAGTTATTCATTCTCTTTCAAGATATCATTGAAATATCTTCGTATAAAAAAGTGATTCAGTTTTCTTTGCAATCAGTGTTGTAACGTCAGGACTTGGCATCCATCACGCTGTCCCATCAATCAAACCAACGCGGAAACCAATAACTTGTAAAAACTTGTTAACTTCTATGAACCAAACATTAAACTTCCAATCAATTCAGTGCCCTCGTTCGATTTTGGACTAGAGCGAGAATTAAGATATTGCGTGGTTAAAAAAAACCTGATTCATATTTCGATCCCTATTTGGTTCAACCTTTAATCAAAACGCAACGAAAAGACAAGGCTGACAAAATGAAGCTCTTGATTTTGATGATAGTTTTGAGCTGCTGGTTCACTTTGGTTTTCCCGTCAAAAGGTATCAATAAGTGTTGGTAACTTTTTCTCAGTTGTTTCTGCTCATTCTTATATCCCTTATATCTGTTATGTACCGCCTGATTTATACGCTCAGTTAATTAGTTTAACTACTAACAATATATTCGCTGTTTTTTCTCATGAAATATTTTGTGATTAAATGATTAATTACAAATAGCAAAAAACAAAAACAAAAAACGAGAAATATTGTATATAAAACTCTTAAAATAGTGTCAATCAAGCGTAGTCGCGCAGCGTATGCATTTGTTGATGTTCGAGCTTTGCGTCGATGTTTTTTCGTAGTTCCCCCTTGCCTAAACACTGACAACTTATCGCGCAACAACAGCAAAACAGTTCTTGAAAAACGACAAACACTGACGCTAATACAATAGTAACAATGTAGCGCGAAAAGTATATTTCCCGGGCATTCTAAATTGTAGGACATCCCATGATCGTCAAAACTAAATGTATTTATTTTATTTTGTGTTTTAAGACGTCCTTGAACGATCCATGTGCAAGCGACTGAAAGAAAAAGGGATGTGCAAGAGCCGTTTTACCTGCATCAAAAACGATCTGTGTAAAGTCACGTGCGGTAAGAACATACAGAATTTTGTGCAATAAGTGTATTTTCATGTAGTTTTGGAGATCGATAATTGTTTTGTTTGCCATTTATCAGCATCCAGATTCTTAAATGTTGCCTCTCTAAGAAATCACTACTCCCTTATCTTTGACTGCTTTATTYATGTTACTATGTATTTATAGGGTGTAACGACATTCTTTCTCTGCGATCGTGTAAAGTACTGAAAGGAATAAAAGCATGCTCCAAACACTTGGTAGTTGGGTTCGATTATTGCAGGTGGACCTGTGGATTTTGTTGTGAGTAAATAATCTTTTTTTGGAAACTAAGTGACGATTACGATTTTTAAATGTGGTACTACCACATTTGACATGTTTCGGCGTTACTTACGCTACGACCATCGCTAAACCAACAAGTTAAACACTTAGCTCTCTCTTTGTCTTTGTAACTTTATACCAACATATTCACGTGCTATGTTTACTATATATTTAACAATTAGACCTCGAGGTCGAGTGGACTACGAGCTAATAGCCCATGAGGCCGAGTCCGCGAGGCCGAATGGGCTATTAGCTCGTAGTCCACGAGGCCGAGAGGTCTAATTGTTTTAGTATAAACATACTAATCGGTGAAATAATGAAAACAAATTGAAATATCCTTACAATAATTTATAATTTATTGATTTTGATTTTCCCGCGAGTGGTCTATCACAAATTAGACCATTAGTAGAGTAGCCAATCACAGCGCAGTATGAGTGATAGACCATTAGTATGTTTATGATAAATATATATATCACTTTCCTTACTTTGTTTTCATTTCTGATGATGGCGTAAGTAACGCCGAAACATATATACCACATTTAAAAATCGTAATCGTCATTTTAAAATTATTATGCTCATTGCTGCTCAAAAGACCTTTTGAAACTAAGTGACCTGTCATTATTTATCGTCAGGGTTGGAGTGAAAGATATGCCGATTATTAGASCTTTTTATAATGCACCACTTTCCAGACGGTTAAAGTTATACAGGCGACACTTTGTCAGTAATGCTGAGAATATCCACAGTACCCCAACCCACTACCATCAATTTATATGCACAAACGCAGATTATCATTAGGATCATTAGGATGGACCAGTTTATGTGACAAAGCGAAAAATTCATGGCGCATGGAAAAATAATGATATGAGTATCTCTGAAGAAAACCGACATTTGTTCAATACAAACATAGATACAAAACATATCAAGAGCGTGACGTTTTGAACCAATTTTAGTGCATTTTCAATGATTGTCCTCAATAGACTCTGAGAAAATCGCGCATGCAAAAAATAATAAGACCTTAAATTACAGTGAAAATGGGCTGCTGATTGTCAGATTCGTGTTTTTTTTTACATCTTTCGAATCAAATATACCTATATAGGGACTGTTAAACAACATTAAAAGTATAAGATACCTCACTCAATAAATTGATTATCACCTCGACCATTGCGATTGGCTATTAGAGCACTTATTAATTTCTACAAATCKTCAGGGAGAAAGAGGGCATGTAAGTCGGCACGTGCACTTGGGATGCAGAGTAGAGCAATTCCTGACTCCAGTATCACCGCGTCGACATCGCATTTCAGGAACCATGAACCACAACTAGCACGACTTCACATTAGGTCATCCCGTGGCAAGGCTGGATCATGGGTTGCAGGTAGACAGCGATCCGGAGAATGGCTCCAAGTTGACTTGGGCAAGGTTACCAAAGTTCAAGCTGTTGCAACCCAAGGTCGATACGACACTAACCAATGGGTGAGAAGCTACACCCTGCAATACAGCAACAATGGCAAAACCTTCAAGAAATACCAGGGAGGAAAAGTGTTCAAAGGAAACAGTGACAAACACACCGTTGTCAAGCATAATCTAAATCCCCCGATTTATGCCAGGTACATCAGGGTAGTAGTCAAGACATGGTATCGCTTCGTTTCAATGAGAATGGAGCTGTATGGGTGCAAATACTATTAAAGGTAAACAAAAAAAATGATGAGGAACAAGAACGTAGAGAGAATTGATTTTTTTGGTGAGAGGGGAAGTGTTACACATAGTAAAAAGCTTGTATAAAATCGTATGATTCATTCTTCATGATATTTACCCGAAAAGGGAGAGAATCTACCTGAGTTCTGGCTCATTGATTCTGACAATACTGACAAATTCACTCTAAAATAGTCGCTATTTGTTAGTATTTACTTTGATTTTATTTCATGGTTTTCCTACGTTTGCTCTAATCAATGAGCGCATCACTGGACATTGAAATTAAAATAGCATTATAGATTTTTAAATCCAATTTTCTCTGAAATGTGAAGCCTGCGTCCAGTGATAGAACTATTATTCTCTTCATATTTTGATTCTATTTTCGAACAAAAAAAAAAACTTCATAAAAAAATATTAAAAATAAAGACGTTTTTTGTTTCTATTTCAGCTCACCAGTCAATCGATGCAGACTATCGTTATAACAAATGGATAACGTAAAACGTGTAATGACGTAATATAAAAGGTTAATTTTAAAGGTGAATTTAACATCGTCTTGGTATACTATAAGATTATGTTAAGGTATTGAATTAAAAAGGTTTTAAGCACTTCATACCAGTTTCTTGAATCTCCTTATTCTAATCATAATCATCACCACTATCAGGCCTAGCCTGATCTAGACGGATTTCTCTAAAAACTACCCTCCACACCTTCTTGTCAGATATAAGTCAAATTATGACACCCAGGTCTTTTAGGGCAATAAAATTCAACAACAATAATATCATTCATCTCTCAGGAACAGATAATGAGTACGTGAACTTTAATTTTTGACTACAATTATATCAAACCTTTTTTCATTGTTCGGTTTATATTTCTTTAGTTTTTTTCCCATGCTTGTTTTTGTTTGAGTTCCGTCACAGTGCATGATATGAAAATATCGAAGAAACGCGGTTTTCACTCAATTCAAAGCTGGTGTACACATTCAATACCTCTTAAATCACCCACGTCTTAAATTAAGATATGGTTAATTTGCCTCTTTTTTATTTGGAAGGTTTTATAAAACACGTTAAACTTGTCTCGTTTACGACATTTTAAAACAGTTTGAAATTGAACCTTATTGGCCCGTAATTTCATCTTCACGTGGTAGACGGGCTGTGTGGGTGTGTATACATGTAAATACATCATTCATAATCAAATTTATGTGATCGCGATTTATTCTGGTTCAAAGAATCAAGCATGTATTAATTTTTCTCCATTTAACTATCTACACACTGAATATTGTCATAT